CGAAGACTGAGTGATAATCTCGAAATGGACGATGAGTATTTTTATCGATATAAACTTTCAAAGTAGAAGAACAAGCGAAATGACCAAATGCCTTCATTACAGAAATTGACACATACCTGGAACATAAGCAACCATCTTCGATGATTTGATACGTTCTCGAACATTCCGTTGCCCAGCTCTAGGTATTGAAAGGTAACGAACTGCATTTCTTTTTATCGCATCGAAATTGGCGAAAAGCAATCGTTCTGCCAAAAAGTTAGATAAAAGGGAGAGCAGCAGACGAAATTCCTTGCGTTGAATAAATCTACACACGTGGTCTGCTATGCTGCTGATGCTGTCTGCAGACTTTAGTTTACTACCTTTTTCAGAGTTATAATGTTTTCATTTCTTTTCTTCCAAACTTATTTCGATCAAGTTTTTCTAATCCCCTACTTCATTCGACCGGAAGGAAAAAACTTACAATTTACAGAAAAGCATACAGATGCCTTTCTAGACATGAGACAATAGAGGGCGACTCTGTTTTGTAGAAACGTACAACTAATGTCGATTACATGAATATGAGATATGCTTCTTTTGTTTAACTCTAACCTTCGGGACATCGTATTGAAACACAGCAGATCGAGAATCGCCAGCAGTTTACGTGTTAAAACGATTAAATTGCAGTTTTTCATCGAAAATGCATCAGACTTTAACACTTCAGATTTAGAATTGGCTAGAGCTGTCTGTCTTCAGCTTGTCTGGTGTTTCGAAAATCAGCAAGAACAGGTAACTAAATGGGATCTTCTAATACGGATTTTAAAACAGAACTTTTAGAGAAGTCTTCTAGTAAATGGGGTCTTGTATTATGGTTAGGTCTTCTGATATGTCATTCAGTTTATTTACTTTTACCTGAAAATGTTTTGGAAAAAAGTCGCTTAAAACACGCATAATGCTGCTGCTACTTCAAAGATCTGAAAAAACATTTCTATTTTATACAGTAGCATTTGCTCTATTTTCCAGACTGTCGAAATCTTCTTTGATTCAAACACATCGAGATTCTTTCTCCTATTTGGAATCAAACTGCATGCCCATTCATAGGTACAATTAATGATAGATTATTGCTTACTTTGCTTTGGGATGTAATGTTGAAATGACATCTTCCGGACAGAATATTGAATGTTCAACAGAATTTGTTTGATCGCATGTCGCTGGTGGATAAGTAAATTGACGTGTACCCATCCTAGAAAGACATACAAAAAAATATCACTTTTCAAGGAAAAACGTAAGTAACTGTATCTATTTAGAAATAAATACCTTGGAAATACTGAAATATTCAATATATATTCGTTTTCGTCCAGTAACCGTTGTACTTGCTGTCGCCTGCACACACAAAATAAAAATAAAAAAATAGATTAATATCGAATCAACTTTTCAGTTACGTTGTTAAAAGGAGAGAAGGAGAATATATTGACCTTAGTTTCATGTTTGCTTCAATTGTACAATAATCTGTAAATGGTTTGGCTGGTGTGCCCTAGAAAAAACAAATTAACTGTATCTTCGAACTCAGCTGATGTACTAAAACATACTTCAACCACATAACTACTAAATTCCGAATGAAACGCTGTTTGACGCTCACTAAAGCAAAGAAACAGTCAGATAAATTCAAATCATTATATACGTTGTAAGTATGTACAGAAGCTAAACGCCTTCACATGTTGAACGGTTATACAGCTAGTCCAACTTTCTTCACGGGACTCTTTCAGAAGACTTATGAACATACTGTCACATCAATTTTCACAATGATTACGTATTTCAAACTGGAAATAATGAATACCTGAAGTGACTTTCCAATCAAGAGAAGGTAATTCCGTAACAAATTAATTATCGGTTGTATAAATTTTCATATTTAAAACGAATAAACTGTCACAGAATTATACCGAACAAAGTAGGCCTTAGCTAAGACTAGACTTTCAAGACTTCTGGAAAACACTTTTTGAACTATTCTGAGGCCATTAATTCGTTTACAAAATTTTTGTATTCGAGGTTTTACCCTACAATGCATAGGTTCACAGAAGATTCACATTGGTCAAAGATAATATTTTTCGATAAACAGTATTCATCCAATCTACAAAATGCTACAACGTTTCAAAAAAACTGATTTATGTCAATTTTATATGCTGAGTTGAATCGACTAGTCGAAGAAGGAGTGTTCATCTTTATCACTTGTCAAATCCGAAAACCTTCGAACAAACTGTACAGTTCTCCATCAAATGTTTTGTTTACACACTACTTTTGCTGAACAAAACTTACCTGATATTCAACTTTTCATATTCGTCCTGTAATTTTGGAATCAATTCATCTGCTTTCAATAATAATTGTACACATTTTTGTTCATGATTAAAGTTCTGTTTTAAAATCCGTATTAGAAGATCCCATTTAGTTACCTGTTCTTGCTGATTTTCGAAACACCAGA